AACAATGTTCCGAGACAATCCCAAAGGACTCATGATGAAACAGGTTATCCACCTTCAGAGAAAGAACTGATATTGTGTGAATACAGATTGAAGCATAATCTCTCTCTCTCAAGTCTTCTTGTACAAAATGACTAATATGGACATATTTTACATGATTGCACAAATGTTTAAAATTGTTTTAATGTGTATCTGGAGGGGGAAATAAAATGTTATTTAAACATTTTTTTCCACTTGAAAGTATTTTATTTTTTCCAATTACATGTAAAGATTCACTTTTATAAGAGTTTGAGTTCTAATTTTTTTTCTCCCTCCCTCCCCTCTGACTTCCCCAAGATGACAAGCAATCTGATATAGGCTATACATATATGATCATATTAAATGTATTTCCACATTAGTCTTGTTGTGAAAGGAGAATCAGAACAAAAGGGAAAAACCACAAGAAAGAAAAAAAGAAAAGAAAAAGAGAAAATGGTATGCTCTGATCTGTATTCAGACTCCATAGTTCTTTTTCTAGATGTGAATAGCATTTTCCATTATAAGTCTTTTGGACTTATAATGCCGAGAAGAGCTAAGTCTATCAAAGTTCTTCATCATACAACGCTGCTGTTACTGTGTACAACGTTCTCCTGGTTCTGCTCACTTCATTCAGCATCAGTTCATGTTAGTCTTTCCAGGTTTTTCTGGAATCTGTCTGCTCATAATTTCTTATAACACAATAGTATTTCATTACATTCATATACCACAACTTGTTCAGCCATTCCCCGATTGATGGGCATCCCCTCAGTTTCCAATTCTTTGCCACCATAGAAAGAGCTGCTATATATATTTTTTGGGTGAGGCAATTGGGGTTAAGTGACTTCCCCAGGGTCACACAGCTAATGAGTATTATGTGTCTGAGGCCGGCTTTGAACTCAGATCCTCCTGACTTCAGAGCTAGTGCTCTATCCACTGCACCACCTAACTGCCCCTAAATATTTTTGTACATGTGGATCTTTTCCCCTTTTTTATGATCTCTTTGGGATACAGACTTAATAATGGTATTGCTGTATCAAAGGGTATTCACAGTTTTATAGCCCTTTGGGCATAGCTCTAAATTGATTTCCAGGGGCAGCTAGGTGGCTCAGTGAATAGAGCTCTGGCCTTGAAGTTAGGAGGACCTGAGTTCAATTCCAGCCGCAGACACTTAACACTTATTAGTTGGGTGACCCTGGGCAAGTTACTTAACCCCAATTGCCTCACCAAAAAAAAAAAAAGAGAGAAGCATACTATTGGGGCAGCTAGGTAGCACAGTGGATATCACACTGGCCCTAAAGTCAGGAGGACCTGAGTTCAAATCCAGTCTCAGACCAAACACTTGACCCGTACTAGCTGTGTGACCTTGGGCAAGTCACTTAACCCCAATTGCCTCACTAAAAAAATAAAATAAAATAAAATAAAAAAGATAAATTGCTCTCCAGAATGGCTGAATCAGTTCACACTCCACCAATAATGCATTGGTGTTCCAATTTCCCCATATCGTATTCAACATTTGTTATTTTCCTTTTTTGTCATATTAGCCAATCAGATAAGTGTGAGGTGGTACCTTAGAGTTGTTTTAATTTGTATTTCTCTAATCAACAGTAATTTAGAACATTTAAAAATATTTAAAAACCAAAACAAAGTACTCTGTTCCATGAAAGATACATTTTCCCCTTGTTGGATTATACTGAGTTTTGTGGGGTAAGTTATTCTTGGTTGTAAGCATACATCTCTTTTGGAATATTGTATTCAAAGTCTCCTCTCATTTTTTAGCACAAGCTTCTAGGTCTTGTGTGATTCTGACTGTGGCTCCTTTGAATTTCTTTCTGGATGCTTACAGCATTTTTTCTTTGATATGGGAATTATGGATTTTGGTCATTTATCTTTTGTGACTTTCTGTATTGTTTAGTCATAAACTCTTCCTGTATTAATAGATCTAAACTATCATTTCTTCCTTGCTCCTCTAATTTGTTTATGATGTGACCATTTATATTTAAATCATGTATCCATTTGGAGCTTATCCTTGTATATGTTGTGGGGTACTGCTCCAAACCCAATGCTGACATACTGCTGTCCGATTTTTCCAGTAGTTTTTGTCAAATAGTTAATCCTTTCTCCACTGGTGTCTTTGGGTATATTGAACACCATGGTGGATGGGTGAAATGGCCCAGCAAATCTGATAAGCAATTTGGAAATATGCCAAGAAAGTAACTAAAATGCCTACACCCATTGATCTAGAAATCTCTCCACTAGGCAGATACCACTAGAATGTCAGTGCTAAAAAGACAGATTTCACATTCATTAAAATATTGAGATCTGTACTTTTTGTAGCAGCTGACAGTTGAGATGAGAACACACCAACCCCTTCCTTTGTCGGGGCAGAGGACGATACTTGTGGGACACTATGGACTATGAGAGTTCCCTGTTGGGTAGTTTTGCTGAACTATTATTTTCTCTCTTTTGCGCTTTGTTATAAAGGATGGATGGGGGTGGGGCAGGTAAGGGATACACCGAGAAGTAGAGATGACTTAAAAACAAAATGTAACCAGAGGCCTCTGAGAAATGCATAATGGGGTTTCAAGTTCTGTGGATCTGAATATAACCTTTGGCAATTTTTTTTTGGGGGGGTGAGCTTGTACACATGGACTCTGGGGCAAGGTTGGCATGGTAAGTGGCTTCAGTTTGCAGAGGACTACATGCAGGTCAGTTGGAGCCCTGGTTTGGGGTGCAGTGGAGATGACAGAGGCCCCATAATGGGCACTCTGATTGGAGACTAACATGACACCTTGATGTGGCTACAGTGACTTGAAACTTTCCTTGTTCAAAGACTGCTAATGAAGATGGTTGTAATAGGCTGATATTGGTGGCTGTGGTTGTTTTTTGGGGGGATTAGTTAAAGGACAGTAACATTCCTTTTAACTCTCTTCCTTGATGCCTGTAGATGGAAGGAGCATAACTACATGGTTTTTTCTGTGTTTTGTTTTTTTTTTAAGCTGTCTTTGTTTCAGATTTTCTGTCTCCTAGAAACTAGGACTGGTCAGAAGTGATCTGTGACTCACATCTATTAAGTCCATGAAGAGCAGAGTACAATAAAAATTCCAGTGATGCTTGCTATAAATGGGACTGAGTCAGAGCTTTAATCTTTTGTTCAGAACACCAGGCTTTCATTTCTAAAGGGATGAGCTGAATGGAAAGAAAGTCTATGCGGGTGCTGTGGGTGGACAGGCACAGGAATGCACTCTTGGTGGAGCTCTAAATTTGTCTAAGCAGTATGGAAAGAAATTAGTAACTGTATTCCCAACAGACATCACACTGTGCATACCCTTTGACCCAGGGATACTGCCTCGAGGCCTGCACCCCAAAGAGATGAGAGAGGAAAAGAATCCACATCAACAAAAATGTCTACAGCAGCTCTTTTTGTCACAGCAAAGAACTGGAGGCTGAGAGCACCCATTATTTGGGGAAGCAACGAACAAATTAAGGATATTAGTGTAATGGAATGTTATTACACCTTAAGAAATGATAAAAGTATTGATGGAAGAGAAATCTGGAAAGATTTGTGTGAGGTGCAGCAGAAGGAAGCCAGGAGAACGCCGGTGGAAGGATTAATATCCACAGCTTGGAGAGACTTAAGACCTCGGATTTCTGAGGACCCCCAGGACCCGGCCACCCACTTCCTCAGATGACAGATGGCCTCGAGGCCTGGAAGAAGGCATATGTTGTTGGATGGGACCACGAAGGGCAGGGGTATTTGCCGGCTGGGTCTTGTTTTTCTTTTCTTCAGGTGGAGAAATTGCTCAGGAAGATGTTGGTGGGAAAAAGACCAAAACAAGGAAAAGGAAAGAAAGAAGAGGGTGGTAGAAGCCTTTCATTTCCCACTGGCAGCATGACAGGAGGAGCTGACGGGAAGCCCCCTGAGGGCAGGCTAGCTCTGTGCATCCACACACTGGGCAGTCGCTGTTCATTGATGGGCTGGCTGACACACCCCTGCCCAACCTGGGGCCTTGGTTTACAGAACCCCACCTCCTCTGTAAAATGGGGGGCTCTGCAGGAGGACGGGGGGAAGGCTGTGCACCCCAGCATCGACGTCAGCTCATCCATTTTGATCGGGGTCCCGCGGAAATCCTGCCGGGCAGAAGGCCGGGTTCGAATCCTGGACCTGCCAACTGACTGCCTGTGTGACCTTGGCCAAGTTACCGGCCCTGCTCTTGTCTCAGTTTCCTCACTGGTAATACGCGGGGGTCGGGCTCAGTGCCGCCATCGAGGTCCGCTCTGGCAGGAACAGCAGGTTCAGCTACGGCTCCAGGAGGGAAAGGTGGCCGCACAGGCCTCTGGGAGATGTGGGCGGGGAGGATGAGCCCACGTGTTGCCGCGCCGGGATTCCATTTCCCAGAATGCCGTGGGACACCTTCTCTCTCTCTCTCTCTCTCTCTCTCTCTCTCTCTCTCTCTCTCTCTCTCTCTCTCTCTCTCTCTCTCTCTCTCTCTCTCTCCTCTCTCTCTCTCTCTTCTCTCTCTCTCTCTCTCTCTCTCTCTCCCCCCCCCCAGCCGGTCCTGGGCGGAGGTCACAGAGCACGTGAAAGTGTGGGAGTTTCCCGCCCATTTGGGAGTCCGTAGGATGGGTGGGTGGGTTCCTGTCCCAGCCTCCTCCTCCCCTTTCACCACACCCCCAACCCCTGTCCACTGAGGGAGCACGAGCCTGAGGGGTGGGGGAATGACACCGCGAGCGAACGTTCAGTATGCCGCCCCCGACCTGAGCTCCTGTTAGCTGAGGGAGCGGGGAACCGTGAGGGAGCGAGTGTGCCTGCGCAGCTCTCGGCCTCTCTCCCCCCCCCCCCCCGCTCCTCCGGCTCCCGCCTACTTGAGGGGGCGAGGAACGGTGAGTGAGTGCGCCTGCGCTAGTCGTCAATGCTACTGTCCTCGGGCGCCTGCTACACCTAGCTGGGGTAGGGGAGGAACTAACTGCACGTGGGTGGGCCAGTGCGCAGGCGCGCTCCTCTGGTCCAAGCCGACACCACCTCGCTGCCCTGGACCGACCGCTAGTGGTGAGGAAGACGTTGCGCATGCGCATTGGTGGAGCGGGCGGGAGTGTGGGTGTGTGTCTCTGAGAGTGCGCCCAGGTGGGAGAGCTAGGGTCCACGTGTGCTTTGGGGGTTGGCAGTTTGGTGTAGGCGCGTGTGCCTGAGAGCGTGTGTGTGTGTGTACAGGCCAATATCCACGTGTAAGCGCGAGTGTAAATGAGTGTGGGGGAAGTGTAAGTGTGGGTTCACGTGTGGGTGTGTGCGGGTGGAAGCGTGTGGATGAAGTGCTAGTGCTCTGTGTAAGTGTGCAGGTTCAGGTGTGTGTGTGTGTAGGTCAGTGTGCCCATAGAAGTGTGAGTGAATGAGTGTGGTGAACATCTGTGCTTCTGCACGTGTAAGCGTGCAGGTTCGGGGTGGGGGGGAGGGCTGCTCCCCCCCACCTTTGCGTGTGCCTCTCGGGCAGGCACAGAACCCTCTCCTGGCAGTAGCAGCCTTGGGTCCTAAGCCCGTTTCGGACATGGGGGCCCCACAGTGATGTTAATTGGCTGGATGAATCTGGAACGAATGAATCAAACTCCCTCGGAGCCCCTGTGTGTGTCCAGGGTCTGGGGCTGCCCCCATAGGTCCTGAGCTGCGCTGTGTGACCAGGCTTTCCCTTCTCTGGCCTGTGGAGCTCCTGGTCCCACGTCCAGCTGTGGACCAGCTCCTAGTTATTGTGATCTTCCCGACGACTGCCGGCCACAGTGGCTTCCCCTGCCCCCACTTTCCTGGAAGGTGGAGGTGGTGCAGGTTATGTAGCCCAAGCAAAGGCCCCTAACCCAGGAAAAGCCTCCTGCCTGAGCCCTCTCCCCAGAGCCCCAGGGCAGCCCCTGCCACTGCTGGGAGGGGGGCAGTGAGGGACTCTTGCCCACCCTGCTCAGGGAAGGGAGGGGGTGACCGTGGAGGACTTGGCCTGAAGGCTTGGGCGGAGAGGTAAGCGTTACGGAAGTGTTGGGGGGGGATTGGCCAGCACCCAGAGGACCATGGGGACAATTGCAGCAGCCAGCACAGCTCACATCCCTTCCTGTCCTCTCTGCTACTTTGTACCTACCATTATCTGACTCAGATTCACTGTCACCTGCAAGCCATCCAATCAATCAGTTAGTCAATCAACAATCATTTTCTCCAGATCATGTCTGGAGGATAGGGAAGTATGTGGAGGGCTCAGGTGAAGTTGGTTTGAATTTCTGGTGCATGTTCACCTGGGTTTGGCAGCTTAGGAAGAGGGGCAGGTCAGGTGGATGGAGGGTCAAGAAAGTTCATCTCTTATGGAAGGTTTGAGGGAGACGAGGACGCGGCTGAGGGCTTTGCTGGGTTTACCTCATGGCTGCGTTCTCTTCCAGCTCAGGAGCAGCTCTTCCACAACCTGAGGATCGAGGTTGAGGAAGGAATGATGTCTGGGAGCCCGATGGCCAGGAGTGCCGTGAGTTCTCTTTTCTGCCCCATTTCCTGCCGTATCTTCCGAGGGAACGTTTCTCCCTAGAATCTTCAATGGTTTCTATTTGCCCATGTCCCATCTCAGCTCCTCAGGCTCAGTCACTCTCCTGCAGAAGCCTCTGGCTGCTCTGACCAGTGGCCTAGAGAAGGCAACTGCGTCAAACTGGAATGTCTCCATCATGGGAAGTTTAGAACTCATGTACACAATCCCAAAAGCAGTTGTCATCATGATTGTTGTCTTGAGTGAAGGACAGAAGTTAAGCACTAAAAATGGATCAGAAAATTTGACTAATTGACCTGAAAGGTGCTTTCTAACTCCAGATGTTTTTTTTCCCTACAATTCAACAAACTTGTTTTAAGTTCTTACTATTGTTCAGACCCTGGACACACCCAAATAAAAATTAAACTGCCCCGGACCATAGGTAGGTAGTAAAGAAACATTTGCAGGGATGATCCTGGTTCAGCAGGAATGTGTCTGATGCAGGCATCAGTGACCTTCAGGGACGTGGCTGTGGACTTCAGCCGGGAGGAGTGGAGCCGCCTGGATGCTGCCCAGAGGGCCCTATACAGGGACGTGATGTGGGAGACCTACGAGAACCTGGTCTCCACAGGTGAGCACCCCCTTCCCGCCTCGGGGTCTGTGTACTGTGGACCATGGTAGGAGTCCTTGCTGCGGCTGTGGGCAACACCTGCTGGGTCTGGACTTTATTGTGGGGAGAGTCTCGGTTATGTATGGCTGGTAGACAGAGTGTTTGTTCTACTTCTCAGGAGAAAGGTCTTGGCCTTGTTCAGATGGAAATGCCACAGCCTCTTGTGCTGACCCGTAGGCTACAGGCTGTGGGCTCCTGCTGCTCTCTGGTCAGACTCTTCTTAAGGTTTTGGAGCCCCTTCCTCCAGGCAGCCTTCCTTCCTTCCATCCCTCTCTTCTCCAGGTGACTTTGGCCCCTGTTCTGCGTGGAGGGTCTCCATCTCTGTGTTTGGAGGCCTCAGGAGGCAAGCAGGGGCCATGCCTGCCTTGGCTAACCCTGGTTAAGTCTCTAGTAAGCAGGGAATATAAGGGCCCAGGTCTGGGCACACCAGGCCCTGCTCAGGAAGCTTCAGTGACTCCCCATGGCCTCTGGAGTCCTCCCCGGCCTTGCCTGGCCTGCCTGGCACACCTGCCCATGGGGCCTCTTGTAGAACTCCTCTCAACTGCCTCCTCCCCAGAATTACTGTGAATTCGTTTTCTTTTTAAAAATAAACTTTATTGGTTTGGTTTTTATGTTGCCAGACATCCCCCGGTATCCCATCTACCCCCGGGCCCTCTGCTCTCTTTATGACTGGAGCCTTTACCTTTGGTCTTCTGTGGCAGGCACTCGTGGCCATTGAGGGTCTTGTTTTCCTGGGTCTGTCCCTCCACTCCGCTCCCTGCAGCGGTTCAGGGAGGTCTTTCCCACTTCCTAGGTAAGCCTGTTCTCGTCCCTTTCTGCCTTTGTTGGCTTGGCCCCTCCAGCATTTATACCTCCCAAGTTTGGTCATCTGCCACCAGCTGGGTCAGGGGGGAAGCCTCCCGCTCATTTGGGTGTGCATTTTTCTCGTTATATGGTCGATAAGAGTTTGCAGTTCTTAATTTTGAGAACTGTTTGTCTTTTGACGAGTTTCTGTTGGTGAATGGCTTTTGGTCACGTATATATATTCTATGTGTCTTGGATGTGAAACATGTTACAGAGACCTTTACCATTCAACCTCATTGATATATGCATTAATTAATGCATTAATGCAGTCATCATTAATTTTGTGCAGAAGCTCTTCGGCTCCGTGCTTAATGGCCCTACTCCTTGTTGTCTGGTGAAGGACACATCTCCCGCCCGTAACAGCGAAAGACGTTTGATACGTGTCTGTATTTTTATGGTACAGGCTTTAATGTTGCCTTTGTCTCTGATGGTCATAGTTGTGCGGCCACTTCACAGGGACTGAGTAGAAGGGGACCTTAGGGACCGTCAGTCTACAGGTGGTCTGGACTGGAGTTTCTTAAGCTGATTTTGATTGGTAGTGCAGTTTGCATTGCTTGCCTCACTATAGCTGACACAACTGATATTGACGGAGTCTGTAGGAACCTCCTGGTAGTAGGCAGGTCAATCGTTTGTTAAACACGGACTCATTTCTGTCAGCTGGGACTCAGCAATTGGGAAATCTTCACAGACACTAAAGTGTGCACTAAATTCTCAGCACCACACTGAAATTTCAAAGAAATTGACTCTGTATCAAGGGCACAGAGATACTGCAAATAAATGTAAAAAGGCAAACAAGTTAATACATCCTTTATAGACCATAATGTAATGAAAATAGTCATCAGTTCGGGAACATACACAAACGACAAAGACTCAAATAGAGGCGTGATGAAATCCTGAAGAATGAGTAGGCCAAAGAACAAATGATAGAAACGTTGAAGCAGTACACCAGAAATGGTGATCGCGATTATGTGCAGTGCACTGTCCTGGGCACTAGGCATGTAAACAAAAATGCACAGATTGATGCCCGTGAAGAACTAACATTCTTTTGAGATAAAGACATATAAGTAAAAAGAAAATACAGGGAAAATAAATGACTAGGTTGGCTAAAGGTTTATCAGTTTTGTTAAGTCTTTTCATAATTGTTGCTTTTAGTTTTAGTTATCATTTGAATTGCCCTTTCCAGTTTCAGGATGATGTATCATCCCTCACTATTGCCACACGGCCTGCTCATATTCTCTTTCCATCATATGTTTCCTTAATGATGTCTTTTATTTCTGTTCTTTGAAGTTTCTCATTGGTTATTTATCAGCTCCTGTTTAGACCCACTGGGATCTCCTATTCATTGCCCTCTGTATGATATGTACTTTTTTTAAAGATAATTTTCAACATTCATTTTTTATAAGATTTTGAGTTCCAAATTTTTCTCCTTCCCCTTCTCCAAGACAGCAAGCAATCTGATATAAGTTATGCATGTGCAATCATGTTAAACATATTTCCACATAAGTTATGTTGTAAAAGAAGAAACAGAACAAAAGTGGAAAACATACACACACACACACACACACACACACACAAAAGGAAAGAAAGTGAAAGTAGTATGCTTTGATCTGCATTCAGACTCCCTAGTTCTTTCTCTGGATGTGGACAGCATTTTCCATCATGAGCTTTTTGGAATTGTCTTGGACCATTATATTGCTGAGAAGAGCTAAGTCTGTCACAGTTGTATGATATTCACTTTTAACGAAGAGATCTATAAGCATTCAGGAGTTTGGCCTCATCGTTCACAACCAAGGCCAGGTGGATGAACCCTTGCTCTGATTACGACTTGGACACAGCTTCTAGGTTTGGTCTGCTAGTGCGTGTATCTGGGCCAGTGCATATAGACGGCCAGGGAATTAAACCTTGAATTGTGACCTCTGCTCCTGTGGAATACAAGAGGATGCTTTAGATGCTTGCTACTAGTCTCTGTGCTTTCCGAGCTGCCTGTTTTTTTTTAAAGCAATATGAAACCTTTTAATAACACAAAATATCCAAAGACTCACTCTTTGAAAGGATGGGTGTTTACATTATTTGCCAAGTTTGGAAAGCCTTAGTATCCACCATGAACCCGATAGGAAACACTGCAAAGATTTCAAGTGTGCTTAAGGGCAAAAACAAGTCATGAGCCCTGTGTGGACTCTGCAGTGAGAGAGCACATTCCTGTAGTCTGTCAGTCAGGCTTTGGAAAGGCTTCCTAGGCTAGTTCTGCCCCCTCCCCACATGCATCCTTCCGATGCAGCTCGTGGCGTTGTTCAATAAGAGCCCATTTCATTTGAGATGGAATGCTGCTATACTCTTACAACCCAAATTGACCCAAAATAACACTAAACAGAGTGTCTGGTCAGATGTTTTTGGATGGTGACTTCTCAGTTTAATGTCAAAAAATGTTGCTAGTTAAGGGAGTGAAAAAAAAATTCCCAAAGACCCGCAGAATACAGATGAAAACTGCCTCAGGCTCTGCAGCTCCTCGTTTGCTTGGTCTCGTTTTCTCCCTAGTGATGGATTTGGGCACATCCATGTAAATCCACGAACAGAACATGTTTATCACTTTTCTGTAAATGCGTTATTCAAGAGTGGTCATTTCCCCTCCCCCCCTTAACTATCCAAAGCTGAATTGAAAAAAAGTGAAAGGACAAGTTTATGGGGGGGGGGGTGTCTACATATACATATACGTACATACCTATATACACATATAAAGGTTATAGCATATTTACATGCAGAGGTTACAGATATACACACATACATATATGTACACATATATTTTACAGAGAAATAGAATAAAATGTAATTTTTAAAAAATGTATGTGGCTGCTATGAATTGCATGCAAGAGGTACTCTTCTAGTAATCTATAGCAAGATGCTGACACAGATGTGGCAGTTGCAGAGCTGACCTGGGGGCCCTAAGACTGGCATAACCACAGCCTGTCTTGAGAAGCTTGAGAAGGTGCCCAAGCTCCAAGACCTTCAGAAGAGCCAGGCTAGATGCACAGGACCCAAGGCGAATAGGGATGGAAAAGCCTCCCTTTCCTCTCTGAAGACCTAGCCTGGTTCTGCTGGGCTGTGCTTTGTTTGCTGGCCTGGTAAGCCACGAAGCTCTGCCTGTGATTTGGGAAGGGCACATGACAAGATCAGAAAGCCTGATTTTGACCTGTATCCATTTTTAACCTTTAAACAGGTTAATGGTGACAAATTATAAAATTCTTTAAAGCAGGGATATTAAAGCCAATATTTGATTATTTTAAGGCTCCCTTCCTCAGAACCAATTTTTTTAAGGTAAAAATTTTTTTGGAGAAAAATAGAGACAGAGGGAGGAAAAGTGACCCAAAATTTACCTGACTCAGAAAGAACTATCTAAAAAATTTCTTTATAATATACAATAATTTTTCTTTTTTTTTTAATTAAATTTTTTTTTGATTTTTAGGCAGTTAGGGTTAAGTGACTTGCCCAGGGTCACACAGCTAGTAAGTGTCAAGTATTTGGTCTGAGGCTGGATTTGAACTCACGTCCTCCTGACTTCAGGGCCCGTGCTCTATCCACTGTGCCACATAGCTGCCCCTATTCTAGGTCTTTTCAGGAATTAGAATAAGAATGGGAGAAAATGTTTGCCTTCAAATGGAAAGGAGTTCTAGGCTACTTTCAGAAACCTTAGCTCAGAAAGAGGCCTTCCCTGTGCTGGGAAACCAGTGTGGTTGGCACTTGCAGTGCCAATGTCACTTGCAGCCGAGACACAGGCTTGGTTCATAACATTGTGATTCTTAAAAGCTTTACCTGTGTGATATCCAGGAGCAGCTGCCCCTGAAACTTAAAGAAGCTTTCTCTGGGTAAGATCTGTTTTAAAAAACATCTTTTCAGTGAAACAGAATGTTACGTAGCAGAGGTCAGTAGTTCTCTTTGCAGAAGAAAGCACAAAACATAGGTGAGTAACCAGAGCTCAGGGTGGGTCTTCTATCAATCCGTCCATCTAGGATTCTGTGTGGTATGTCATGTTTGCATGCACTTTAAGTGTCCTGGACAAAGCCTCCTGTACACACCTCACATTTTGCCTCCTAGTCATAGTACAGAAAGGAATCCATGTACTCCCCCCCCCCATACCCTCCCCTTCCCGGTCAACCACAGGGACCTTTCACAGACCTCAAATCAAGTGAAGCATGAAAGAGTGTTAAGAATTTGTCATCATCAAGTACACGTGCAAAGAGTTCAACAGCATTCTTCTTTAATGTAAGCCACGCTCTTTAAATGGGCACATAAACCACTGAAAAAGTGGCTTTCATTCATTCATCAGTCATAGGAAAGAAGTCAGTTGATTGGAACAGTGGGCTAGTTTATGTAACTGGCAACTGTGTATAATCTAGCAAGGGCTCAAAGACAGACGTTTTAAGCAACATAGTTGTACTGGTTTGGGTTCTCTTTGTCTCTTTCCATATAGTCCCTGTCGATTAAGGATTCTATTCTCTTCTTGAGATCACCAGGTGTAACTGGGAACCTCAACTGATTGTATGCTTCTGAAAGAAGCAGATTGTGGTCTAGAGCCTTCCTTATCTTCATGATTCTCACAATTGCAGCTTCAGTGTGATACTGTCGGTCTTGAAAGACCGTTTCTGTGGTGCTTGCTTGTTCCTCTACTGTTTCTTTCATCTGGATTTGATTGATTTTTATCCTGAAGACCTTGTGTCTGAAGTCATCATGGCAAGTAAATTTATCACCATCTTCCACATCTTTGCCCTTTGGGATTTTTGTCAGAACTCTAGCTTTGCCACAAGCTAATGACTGAAGTGTTCTTCTCAATTCTCCATCTTCTATTCCCGTAGCTTTCTTGATGTCTTCTACACTGAATTCTTCACCATCATTAAATATTAACAACACCAGCGTTTGGAAAAGAGATACCTGGAGTTCCTTTTTCCCCTCTTTAAATTCTGCCTTTAGCACACAATGTCCTAGGGTTGATTGCCACTGAAGCTTCCTCCCACTGTGTTTACCTAAGTAAAAAGTCTTGAGAAGTTCCTGGAGTCTTACCAGCTCAGCTGGTAAGTGAACCTCCACAGGCACATAGGTTGGCCAGTGACCCATTGTCAAGATATTCACAGTTAGTTCAGTGGTAACAGGAAAGTGTTGGTTTTGCACATACTGTTTGAAGTGAACCGTGATATCTTTGGATAGCTCCATGTCTTTGAACATTCCTTCCAGTTTGCTGGTGAACATGGCTCCACATTCATACTTGAGTTTGGAAAGCATTGATTTTTCGGCATCTGCTGATGCACTCTTTCCATACAACAGTCTTTTGACTAAATCCTTCTTATAAAAGGTTTCAAAGACATCTTTCCCATAAATGAATCGAAATATAATAATGATCTTGTCTAGCATTTTCTCAAGTTCTTCATCTGTAGCTTCTCTGTTATGTGCATGGAGCTGTAAGTCTACATACTTTGCTATGAGTTCAGCAGGCTTATTTGGTCTTTTGTTAATGAAGGTTCCAAATGCTTCTTTTGTGGCATTGACAAATCTTTCATTTTTCATAAAGCTGACTTCAATAATATAGTCAATTTTATCTTTAAAATCCAGCAGTTCCTGCACCATGGTCTTATCTTTTTCAGGATTAATAACGATAGTGCTGTCAAATGCCTTGATGTATTCAGTCCAGTGCTGCAAGAGAACTGGAATTCCGTTGCATACCCTGCTGAGCAGCTGATAGAGTAGAAACAAATCATGAGTCCGATTTTCGTCTAGGAGGTGACTTAAGCCTTTCTGAAGGATGGCTGTTAAGTGTTCACCTAGAAGTTGCTTTTCTACAGTAGCAATTAGTGGCTTCTGAGTACTCAGAGCTAGATAGGTGATCAGTCTATCTTCTTCTTCTTCTAGACATTTGTTGACATGATGAAAGTATTGAGAAATCTCTCTTTCTTGCATTAAATGCTGTCTGCTGCATATAGCTGGTTGGTTTCTTCCAAAAATTTCTGTTCAAAAGAAATCTTGATAAATCTGCAAGTCTGAAAGCATACTCAGAAGGCTTTGAAGCAAACTTCTATCAATTGCTTCACCATTCCTTTCCCTCTCAATCAAAAGAAGAATGCCTTCCATAGTCTTGTTCTGGACTTTTTGATCACTGATTATGTGGGTCCTAAATAATTCTAGACCCATGCCCCAAATGGAAAGCAGCATTGAATTATGAAGAACATATGTTCTATCTAGGAACAACAAAATGCTCCTAATCATGGACATCTGTCTGCAGTGACTATGCCAGCATTTATCTATCTTCTTCAGAAACAGAACACTGTCCAGTGAATCCTCTCGGAATTGGTGAATTTGGGATCTGATGTGCCCTTCACAAATCTGTCTCAGCTGTTTGTATAAGTTTGCAGAGATCCTGTAGGAGCAGAGGCTTTCCACAGCCTGGTAGCGTTCTTCTAGATTGCATGCAATCGAAGTGCTGTTCTGAATGGCTGCCACAGCCTCTTTGAATTTCTGCTGTGTTGCATCTGTGTAGTTTTCCGGCATAGGTTTGTCTGTAAAGTCCCTGATCACCAGTTTCTTGGCTGAGCCTGGTTTGCTGTTGGTGAAGCTAGCAGTAGCAGTGGGGGCTTTGGTCGGCTGACTCGCTTGGGGTCCTTTAGCCATGGATGAGATTAACAAGTTTTTGTTTGTAAGTTCCTGCTGCTGAGCTACAGCAAGACCAGGTGAAGAAGACGCCTCTTCCTCGGCCATCTTCACATCAAGTCCTATGAAATCCAAGGAGTCTTCCAAATGCAGTTTCTTCTGGAGGTGGTGATGGTTGGGGGCAGCAGCTGAAATCCCTGGGCAAGAGGCTGTAGAAGAGGCCGGAGTGGAGTTCTTGGGAGGGAGTGGAGGAGGGCAGAACCAGGAAGAAGGGATGGAAGCAAAGTCTCCTTCTGTGTTGCTGCTGTTGTTTAACTTTCTCTTCTTGGAACAGGCGGCGAAGGTGGCCAGGGTAGGGCTGGTGCCATCGTGACCGTCAGTGGCAGGTCTGACCTCCTGGGAAGGAGGAGCAGCAGCAGCTGAGGGTTTGGGGGATGAGAAACCTGTTGGAAACATGAAATTGCTGGTGTCGGTAGGCTGTGAAACATGAAGTCCTTTGGATGGCCGAGAAAGAAAAAGTGGAAAAGCAACCCTTGCCGGGCCCAAGTGAGGGGGCTGGGCAGGGAGAGTCAGGGATGGAGGGAAGGGAGCGACCCAGTCAGTCAGTCTGCTTCTTTATGAGTAGAGTTAAATTCTGACTGCTCTCCTTGGCTTTCATTGCTTTCCATGCATGCAGGGATTCCTGTTTCCAGACTGGATGTGATCTCCCTGTTGGCGAAACAAGAGGCGCAGTGGACACCGGAAGAAGTCCCCGGGTGGACCTCGCCAGGTGAGTGAGTACAAGGCAGGTCAGTGGGCGTCACTGCAGGCAGCCCCTTCCTGCACCCACTTGGGCACCTCGGCTCTTACTGTGTGTTATGGTATTGCCTGCCAAAATGATTGTGCCATTCTATAGCTTTAGCATTTGGGGGAAATCATGACTCTTTCTCCACAGAGTCCCTGGCATTATATTTCACAACTTTCTTTTGAATTGAATGGATTTGACAGATCTTAGAGATGTTTTCATTTGCCTTTTTATAACTTTGGGAGAGTAAACAGAATTTTTCTTACAGCCATTGGTTTTTGTGATCCCTTTAAAAAATTCTTCATATCTTTTTAAAGATCTTTTTGAATTAAATAAATGTAAAAAAAAATTTTTACATCACCTTCATTTTCTTTTTCTTTTAAATTTTTATTTTTTGTTGTTCTGAACTTGATAAACATCACCAAACAAGAACATTTCCATATGCAAAGAACAGACTAACAGGATTTCATGTGAAACTATCAATCTGTTTCCATCATGTTTCCTTTTAAAAATACATATAATAAATTCAACACTTTAACGTCAAAGGTGTTGTGCTTATCTGTCTCCCTTTGAATCTCTTTTCTGTGCATTATTTTAAATGCTTTATTGATGCACTTTTCTTCCCCCCTCCCCCTTATTTTTGGCATTAACCTCTGATCATGCCCTCCGAAACCCTCTTTTATAACAACCATCATCCAGCAAAACAAGTTCGTGCATTAGCCACGGCCAACAATGGAGGTACCATCCTCCACTCTTTACATCGTCATTTTCAAATATGTCGTTCACCTATCCGTTATGTGGAAGTCATCTAATGTCACAAAGAATAAAGATTGAGGGAAGGGAGGTTATTTCTAGAAAATGAACTTGTCAGTGCGTCTCACAGCGCCCTCAGGGCTCCTCACATGCAGCCCCTCTCCATCGCAAAGGAAGGAGGCTGGGATGTTTTCATGTCTCTGATTCAGGGCTAAACTTGGCATTAGATTTATCCAATATCCAGTGTGGGTTTTATTTGTTATTATTTTTCCCATTTAAATTGTTATAGTTATTGAGTATTTTGTTTTCCTGGCTCTGCCTACTTCTCTTTGCAACAGTTTGGTTGTTTTCCCATGATTCTCTGAATTTTTCACATTTATTGTTTTGTGATGCAATGTTGTGCCATTCCTCTTGTGTCCTGTGATTTTTTTTTTTAGCTGTTCTCTCCCCAATCACTGGGCATTAACTTTGCTTCAAATTCTTTGGTACTACCAAAAATGCTGTTATGAATATTCCGGTAGTTCAGTTCAAATCATTCTCCAGAATGGAAGCAATATTTCTGTTATGCTTTGTGTCAATTCCATGTACATTTTGACCATCATTAAAAAAATTTGTATTTCTTTAGTTTTTACATTACCCACATTTTCCATTATATCTCTCCTCCACCCCTCCCAAAGTGCAAAGAGGAAGAAAAAAAATTTTTTGGTAATACTAGATACCCTATCAAAATAGTCTGATTATATGTCTCTAGTACATATACATACATATATATATGTGTGTGTATATATATATATATATATATATATATATATATATATATGGAAAGCATATGATTATGGATCACATAACAGTAAACATGCAGAATATAGTAATATGTGTATGTATATTTATTTGTTTAGATAGTCACTTATATAATCCATCCCCTTGGTGCAGGTGGGGCAGAGGGTGTCTTTCAAATCCCTTTTTTGGGATCAAATTTGGTTACTATAGTATTTCATCATTCAGTTTAGATTCTGTTATGGTACAGGTTCTTTCCATTTTCACATTTGCATATGTTGATTTCCTGGTTCCACTTATTTCATTTTGTATCATTTTGTAGAAGTCTTTCCATGCTTCTCTGCATTCACCTTGTTCATTGTTTCTGCAGTACACTCACGTGGATGTCCCTTATTTTAATACCATTATAAGTTTTTTTTTTCAGGCTTTTGATTAGTTTTGGGGTTTTATTATAAATTTTAATTTAATTTACCTGGCTAGATATTGATATTTAGAAATATTGAAAGAGCAGAAAATAAGAAAAGTGCATTGCGAGATAAAAACCCAGACTACTAGATGGTACGTAACTATCCCTGGGCCTGTAAACTGCTTAATATTTATTAATGCTACTCCCAAAATTGAATTAAAACCTCTCTTACCCACCCCACCATTCATCTTTTCATGTGTTGTTGTTGTCTTTTTTTTTGCCTACTCACCTGTATGTAAAACATCACTTTGTTGCTGTTTCTGTTTCTCCGTATGGTCATAGTCAGTGAATGTGCTGTTCTTTCAGCTCGTCTTCCCTTTCTCTGCACCATGACCTAGATGTCTTCCAGGATGTCTTTTGATTCTCCATTTTCACCCTTTGGCTGAATGATATTCTATTACAGTCACATATTATAATCACTCCTTCCCCAGTTTCTGGACATCAAGCATATTGCTTTTGTTTTGTTTACTGTGCCAAGTAATGGTGCTAGGAATATTTTTGTATGGTTAAGTCTTTTAATTCCTAAGATAATACATCTTGAGTTGGAAGGGATTTCTGAGACCCTCTATTGCAACCTCCTCATTTTACAGTTGAGTAAACTGAGATCCAGGGAGGTTGAGTGATTTACTCAAGGCCATACAGTTGGTGTCAGGGGTGGGATTTGAACCCAATTCCTCTCACTCAAGAGTCAATATTCTTTCTACTAAACTATTCTACTAAACTCCATTCTTGTCAGTATATCACTTTTTGGTAAAAAATATTGATGACAAACATTTTCCCTCAGTCTTTTTTTCTTGGTTATTCTAAAAATAGTGATTCTTATTGTGAAAAATAGTTATATTTTTGTATAATTAAATATTTATCATTATTTTCTGGTGTCTTTTATTCCCAAATAGATAAGAATATTCTTACCTCTCCACAGTTGTGTTCTATACCTATCATTTTCTTTAGCTATGTATCACCTGAACCACCCACTGCCACCCTTAGGCCTGTACAAAACTACCTCACATACTACACACTTACTAGATCATGATCCTTTCCAAACTGTAGCACAGAAGCCCCCACTAGTGTGTTTATTTTTACTAGTTAGCCTCAAGGAACACTTAGCTCAAAGTAAAGGCATGTCAGGAAATATTACAGTAATAATAGTTACAACAGAATTCCCTCCCTCTCTCACATTTGGATACAATACTTCCATAACTACACACAGTCTTCCTTAGAAGAATGGATTTGCCTAGGGATCACTTATGTGGAATGTTCATATGAGAGAACCGTGGTACCTATACTGATGTTCTATCAAGCTTCAAACATATGTCTTCAGCCAGAAAACATGCATGAAGGAGCATCTCATGCTTCCAGTAATGTAGTGCTATAAATCTCTTCTGGTGATGTCATCCTGTTTTTTTTCTGCTGAGTCTGCATCTGTCTCTGCTGGGCATTGTGTCTCTGCTCTTCTCTCTCCATTGCTGGCCACATTCTGCCTCAATTTTATTGTGTTTCAGCTATTTCAGTAGCACTCTGAACTCTGTTGACAATCCATAGAAGGATGTGGTGTATAGTAAGACTGTCCCTTACAGAGCCATAGTTAAGTCCGCTAGCTCTTTTAGGCAGACATCTCTGCCATCTACTAGGTGGTCCCATGTTCAGGAAGCCCATCTTTTCAGCCAGATTTATTGTTCAGTGACTGTTTTCAACCAACTCTCATCATCATTTCCCTCTCTTTTATATAAATCCCAAGAGTTGTTGTAGAAGAGGTCAAGGCTTTTGACCTTTATCTCTGTATCCTCCAGGCCACAGATCACATCCAGATCTCTCTTTTCTCCATAGAGTTGTAATTTTTAACATTCAAATATGCTTACAATTATTTTTATCCAGTTTTTTTCATTTTCACATAATCAGATTTTTCCACAATTCCTTTACTTGAAAAGATTTTATATATATATATATATATATATATATACACACACACACACACACACACACACACACACACACACACACACACACACATACACACACACACACATATATGTGTGTGTATGTATGTATGTGTATATATATATATATATATACCAACTCTCTATAATTGAGATTTACATCACTTTAGACATATCAGAGAATCATAAAAATTCAGAGTTGGGCAGGATCTTTGGTGCCCATATTGTCCAGCACATACCTGATGAAGAAGGTGGTCTATAACCTAGCTGACAAATGATGATTCAGATTGTTCTTGAAGACCTTAGGTGAAAAGAAACCCTCTGCTTGCCTGGGGCATTCCATTCCATATTGGAAAGCTCTAATTATTGAGAAGTCTGTGTACTTATTTGCCAGTTTTACCCATTTCTCCTAATTCTGTCCTTTGATTCTAAGCAAACTAAGTTTAATACCCCTTGTGCATGAAAACCCCTCAGATAATTGGAAACAGGTTTCAAATCCCCCATGAACCTTCTGCAAGAGACAACATAGTTAATAGTGAGCTGGCCTAAGAACGTAAACATATCGGATTCAAGTTTAGCCTCTGACACATACTAGCTGTGTAGCCCTGGGCAGTGTCTAACTTGTTAGTGCATTCGGCCACTCTTACTGGGATCTTTTTACACAGATGAAATTATATGTCCAGTGTGGGGGGTGGGGTGGGGAGGGTTGTCTTCTGCTGGCTAAATATCCGCCATTCCTTTAATTGATCATTATTTGGAATCCAAGACCATCTTATAATGTAGCATTAGATACTGAACATAGTAGTATAGATGTGGTCTGATCAAGAGAGGGCTTTGATTTTTCCCATTCTGTACTTTCTTCTTCACTTAAGGTAGCAGGAGATAATGGAGATAAGTGTTTTGGCTGCCATGACAATGCTTTACTTGAGCTTCCAGGTCACTAAAAGTTTGGTTGTATAGTTCATTAGTCACATCCAACCCTTTGTGACCCCATTTGGGGTTTTCTTGGCAAAGATACTGGACTGATTTGCCATTTTATTTTCCATCTCATTTTACATATGAGGAAATTGAGGCAAGTAGAGTGAAGTGACTTGCCCAGGGTCACACAGCTAATTAGTGTGTGAAGCCAGATTTGAACTCAGGAGGATGAGTCTTCCTGATGCTAGCTGGCACTCTATCCACTATGCCACCTGGCTGACCTCACTAAAAAATCCCTGGATTTTTTTTTCAAGATGAATTGCTATCTAGCTATACCTCCCCTATTTTTTACTTACAGAAATGAGTTTCTGAACTCAGATATGAATAGTTAACACTTATCTCCATTATGCATTCATTACATTTAACATACTGGTTTAGTCTATTGGTTTAACAGTGGTTTAGATCTGAATTTTATCTATCATTTGGATGGATGGATATCCTTGCCAGTTTGTAAATTACTTTGGCTTATCATAAATGTTTTTAAGTCACTGATTAAAACGGAATGGTGTTTTTTAAAATGATGATTCCTTATTTCATTAAATAATGATGTCATTAACACCTTTTCACAATTTGTCATATCTAAATATTTTGTTATGTCTTTTTTTATCATTTCTTATTTTTGTAAAAAACCTCATCCAAGTTACATTATTTTATTTGATATATCACACCTTTTTTGGGTGCTTTTAAGATCATCTTAAGATCTTTAAGATCAATACATTATTCCTGATTAACAGTAATGGGTCTATGTGAATTGAATTTGGGGTTCACCCCTGTTGCTAATCAATAAATTCTATGTTCAATCTGCCTTTCTCCCAATATTTTTGGAGTTTAAAGCAAATACACTCACTTAATTCATTCGAAAGTTAAGACATCACCTGTGATGTCACTGGTCCTGTCCGAGAACAAAGGACGAGCAGCAACAGCCAGCTTCTGGAGAATGGGCACAATCGTTTTCTTCACAATTTGGGGGCTCCCAGTAAGTCTTCAGCTTTACCCAGTTGGTATCTTCCAGATACGTCAGTTTTGTCTGCATTTATTTCAGTTTGAATACATTTCTAAATAAGCAGTTTTCTGAGCTAGTTTTTCCTCCTTCTTTTGTAGATTTCCACTCTTTTATATTGCAGAATATTCAGCTTTTTACTGAGTATTCTTTTCAATGACCTATATAAATGTTCTCAGTGCCTTGGAATGTAATGCATTTAGTCATGTCTAGTCAGGTGCTCTTTTTTTTATCACCTCATTTGTCTTTGGCATCATTTCCCTGAAACAGTTAATCTCTGATTTCCTTGAAGCCTCTGCTCAAGAACCAGCTTCTCCAGGAGGTCTTTCCCAAAGCCCCATCTGTTACTGTGTTCCCCTTCCATCTACTACTCAGTATTTATCTTCCCTGTGTCAATTTGTGTATATGTCAGTCCTATTAGAATGTAAGCTGCTTGAGGGCAGGGATTAATTTTGCTTTTTATTTGTGGTCCCAGTGTTGGGCACATTACCTGGCACGTAATAATCACTTAAATGTTTATTAATATTTTGTGTGATTGGTTCAAATTAAGTATCATTTTTTTCCATGAGATAGAAACTAAACTCTTCTAAAGAAGAGTCAGTACTACAATCAGTGCCTAATTACTTTTTAAAACATTTCTTTTAGATTCCTTTAGTGAGGAGACCAGATTTGAACCCAAAGCTTCAAGTTTGATGCAGGCTATTTGCCTGGGAGCATCATTCAAGAAAAGACTGACAAAGAATTCAGTAGCCTGGCATTCCAAGATGAGAGAACCTGGGGCGTGTAATGTTAATTTAGCAAAACAAGACAACCAGGAGAGACAATCCAGAAAAATGACAATCACTTCGAGAACAACTTTTAATAATGTGAATGTACCTCACCATGATACATTTGGGGAAAGTTTCAGTCTAGGGTCAAATTTTGTTGCCCCATGGAGAACTATGGGGAAAGGTCTCCATAAATACAAGACACCTAGAAGACGCTTCAGGGGTTTTCCTTATTTAATTACAAGTAATAGATTCTTCTTCCAGAAGGACCTCTGTAAGTATACCAATTGCAAGAAGCCCTTCAATTACCATTCAGACTTAATTAAATTTCATAAAATGCATTCTGGAGGAAGGCTACATGAACCCAATGAATGTGAAAAAGCATTTGGCAAAAGATCAAATCATATTGGATGTCAGAGAGTTCATAATGAAGAGAAACATTACACATGTAATAAATATGGGAAATTCTTCAGAGACAGAAAAGGCTTGATTAAACATAATGTCATTCATATTAGAAAGAAATCTTTTGCACATAATCAAAGTGAGAAAGCCATCAGTGAAAAGGGACAGGTTAATATACCACAGAAAACTCATAATGAAGAACAGCTCTTTAAATGTAATGAATGTGGGAAAGCTTTCAACCAGAGGGGAAACCTAATTAGTCATCGGAGTGCTCATACTAGAAAGAAACCCTTTGCTTGTAGTACATGTGGAAAAACTTTTAGCCACAGGGGAAGCCTAATGAGTCATCAAAGTGTCCATGTTGTAGACAAACCTTTTGCATGTAGTACATGTGGAAAGGTCTTTGGCCAAATGAGGCACCTTATGATACATAGGAGAAATCATAGTGGAAGGAAACCCTTTGTCTGTAGTGAATGTGGAAAAGCCTTCATCAGGAGAGGGCACCTTATTACACATCAGAGAATCCATACTGGAGAAAAACCCTTTGCCTGTAATGAATGTGGGAAAAAGTTCAGTGAGAGGAGAAATCTTATTACCCATCAGCGAATTCATACTGGAGAAAAGCCTTTTGCTTGTAATGAATGTGGAACAGGCTTCCGACAAAGAATAAGCCTCATTATACATCAGAGAACTCATACTGGTGAGAAACCTTTTTCATGTAATGAATGTGGGAAAGGCTTCAGACAGAGTGGACACCTTACTACACATCAGAGAATTCATACTGGACAGAAACCCTTTAAATGCAGTGAGTGTGAGAAAACCTTCAGTGAGAGGAGAACCCTTATTACCCATCAGAGAATTCATACTGGAGAGAAACCCTTTACATGTAATGAATGTGGGAAAACCTTTACCCAAAGGGCAAGCCTTATTACTCATCAGAAAACTCATACAGGAGCCAAGCACTTTGAATGTAATGAATGTGGGAAAGCTTTCTTCAGGAGGGGACACCTTATTACCCATCAAAGAATTCATACTGGAGAGAAACCCTTTGCATGTAATGAATGTGGGAAAACTTTCCGTGAGAGAAGAAACCTTATTACCCATCAAAGAACACATACTGGAGAGAAACCTTTTACATGTAATGAATGTGAGAAAACCTTTACCCAAAGGGCAAGCCTTATTAGCCATCAGAGAAGTCATACTGGAGAGAAACCCTTTGCATGTAATGAATGTGGGAAGACTTTCAGTGAGAGGAGAAACCTTATTACCCATCAAAGAGCTCATACTGGTGAGAAACCCTTTACATGTAATGAATGTGAGAAAACCTTTACTCAAAGGGCAAGCCTTATTACCCATCAGAGAACTCATACTGGAGAGAAACTCTTTCCATGTAATGAATGTGGGAAATCATTTACCCAAAAGGCAAGCCTTATTACTCATCAGAAAACTCATACTGGAAAGAAACCCTTTGCATGTAATGAATGTGGGAAATCATTTACTCGAAGAGCAAACCTTATCATCCACCAGAGGACCCATACCAGAGGAAAACCTTTTGAATGTAATGAATGTGAAAAAAGCTTCAGCCAGAGGAAACATCTTATTGCACATGAGAGTATTCATACTGAATAGAAACATTTTGAATGGAATGAATGTGGGAAAGCCTTCAGTGGGAGGGGATGCCTTATTAGGCATCAGAGAAATCATACTGGAGTGAAATGTATTCAAGATGATAAATACAAAGAGTAGCATAAAATGATTCAATGTCAATATGTCCAGTGAAGCACTCCAGATGTCCTTGTTTTGTTCTGTACTGTTTAACATTGTTATCAATTACTTATCAAATTTGCAGATGACTTGAAGCTGGGAGCCATAGTTAATACTGTATGACAGCCAGTATTAAAAAAGATCTTGAGGTTAGGATTTGGGGCTGAAATATGAAATTCGATAGAGATAAATGTAAATAAAGACAAATTTCTAAATGGAAAGAAAAGACAAAACAAATTAACATCACAAGTCACTCAGTTAAAAACAACATTTATTAATGTGTTACTTTACTATGTACTAGGCATTATGGTACAAAGAAAAAAATTTCCTGATACCAAGGAGCTCACATTTTAATGGAAGAGACAACATGCAAATAATTATGTACACACAAAATATACACTGTACAGAATTGGAAGGTAATCTTAGAAGTGAAGGTACTGGTAACTGGGAGAACAAGGACAGTCTTCCTCCAGAAGGTGGGATTTGGGCCCAGTCTTGGAGGAATCCAGGGAAGGTAAAAGACAGAGGAAGACAGAACATTTCAAGAATTGGAGACAGCCCTAGGCAAAAGCAGAGATGGAGTGTTGTGTGCTATAAACAGCAAGAAGGCCAAAGTACCTGGCCATCAAGTGTTTGGGAAGGAAGGACGGATGAAAAGAAGCCCAAGAAGGTAGGAAGGGGGCCAAGTTGTGAAGTTTTAAATGTCAAACCCAGGATTTTATTTTTCATTTTGGGGGTAGTAGGGAACTTTTGGATTTTATTGAGTGGAGGGGAAGTGACATGACCAGACCTAACATTTAGGAAAATCACCTTGGCAGCTAAGTGAAGGTTGGATAGAAACAGGGATAGACTTGAAACAGGGAGACCAATTAGAAGGCTGTTTCATTTGTCTAGACAAGGAATGATTGGATAGTGATTTTTTTGTCATTGTTATTTGTTTTGTTCCTGAAAGTGCTGTTAATAAAACACTTAAAAAGAAAATGTTCTGCCTTTAGGAACAACGGAGTTTGAAAACTAATCAACAATTAGTGGCCATTCTGTTTTACATTAAAAATCATCTTAAAACATCCACACACTATGGTTTTCTTAGTAAAGTAAATGTAGTAGAGTGACAAGGAGTTAATCAACAAACATTTATTATTACAATATGGGAGGGTGAGGGGGGAAGAGAGACAGACTGACAGAGAGGCTATTCAGGGGAAAGGCAGTAGTAACTATTGGGAATGATCAGGAAAGGCCATGTGGAGAAAGTGGATGGCACTTAAGCTGAGGGATTCTGAGAGTTGGAGGTGAGGAGGGAGTCCATACAGAGACATGGATATGGGAATAGAGTATCAAATGTGAGAATGCTAAGAAGGCTAGTTTGGGTGGATCATAGTTCAGATGGAGGTGAATAATAAGTAAAGAGGCTGGGTATAGATTGTGAAGGGCTTTAAATACCAAAAAGGAATTGTATTCTGGAGCTAATAGGGAACATAATATTTTGAACAGGGGAGTGGGACAGGCTTATACTTAAGGACAATCACTTTGGCAGCTGAGTGAAGGATGAATTGGAGAGGGGAGATATTTGAGGCAGGAACACCAATTAGGAAATTATTGCAGTAGTCAAGTTAGAGGTGATGAGGGCCTGAACTAGGGTATAATCTGGGAGTGAAGAGAAGGGGGTGTATGCAAGACACGTGGAGGCAGAAATGACGTGTCTGGTTTGTGGCCCCAGGTTTTAAGGACATTGTTAAGCTGGAGAATGACCGACCAGGATGGTGAAGGACCTTAAGTTCATTTCATATAAAGATTAATTGATGAAATAGGATGCTTAGCCTAAGAAGAGGAAACACTGGGCAAAATGAGTGCTTTCTTCAAGAACTGGAAGGGCTGTCAAGTAGAAGAGGGATTTGGTTGGGCCCAGGGTGCAAAACTGGGAGAGATGGCTAGAAGTTGCATGGAGATAAATGTCAGCTCACTGGAAGGAAAGACAGCCTGTCCAAGAGGGGAGTGGGTTGCCCCAGGATATAGCAGGTTCCCCCACTGGAATACAGTAAATGAAACTTTAAGTAATTCAGCAGACATTTCTTAAGCATATGCTATATGCAAGGGATTGTGCTGGGTGTCGGAGACAAACAGGGAAAAGTCTCTTCCTTCCACAGGCTTTCATTCTATTAGGAGGAAGCAGTATGTATATTGGGGTGGTGGCCAGGAAAGGGGCATCATAGCTGAGGAGCTGATCCACAGGCAGTTATCACTTTCAAGGAAGACTGGCAGTATGGTAGTGTTGATTTGATTACTGAGGAAAGATGAAGAGGCAGAAGGACAGACTGTGGATGCCTGGATGAGATGTGAAGAACCGTTTGGTTTGGTGGTCTGGGTCTCACACAGTCTATAGTGTGCTAGCTGAATTTGCAGCTCATTTGCTCGCCAGTCACCAAGGTGGGAGTTTGGAACTTGGTGTATTAACTCCTTAAGGGAATGGAAATTTCTTCTGGCTGTCCAGTATGGAGGTGCTGTTCGACTTGGAGAGAAGTTAGCAGCAGCAGGGCAAATGGCAAGATGTCTGGGGTAGATGGATGGAAAGGATGTAAATGGCTGGTCTGGGCCTGCTAGGTAGAGAAGGTTGGTTGGATTGCCAGCTCATTTCCTCATGTGGTAAAAGCAGCACCTATTTCACATAGATTAGGCTAGTTTTGCAACATCTACTAAGGTTTCTGCCATGAAAGCTAGGCTACTATTCCCCTAAAAGTGAAACAGTCAAGATTTACTTAATCCAGGGGACTAAACTGGTACAGTTGACATAACTTCCTGATCTCCTAAATATAAAATCTGATCATTGAACAGTCAAGGCTTTTCAGTTGTGAAGGACCCATTGTTTCTTGGGGGTCAACATACCCTTTGAGGGGCACTTCTATTTATTAACACCAAAGGAACTGTATCCATCTGAACCAATACTTTGTCAAAGTATCTTTTCCATGCTTTTGTCTCTCATTTTGCTTCATTCTAGGGCCTGAATCATAGGCCTAGCCTATGTCCAGTCAAGGCATAACCAGTTTTAAGAAGGGAAGGCCATTTGCACTGAGTTCCCCATCATTCCAGAATCACAGAATTGGAAGGTCCTCACCACTGAGACTAACCCATAATTGGCAGAGAATTCCTTCTATAGCATCCCTTTTTAAAAAATCCCTTTGCTTGACTAGGATCTGAGATTTAGAGCTGGAAGTTCTGGTCAACTTGTTCACATTACAGAAGAGAAAAATATATAGATATTAAGTGACTTATCTGGGGTCACACAGTAATTCCAAAGCAGGATTCAAACCCAGTCTTCCTGGTTCCAAGTCCAATGCTCTGTGTATTTGACATATGACATGCTGATAATTAAAAAAAAATAGATTGAAGCTGGAGACAAGTAAGCCTAGTACACCAAAAGGTCAAGAGGTCAGAGATCATATCGATAGGGCATTCCTTCGGCTGGAGCACATCACAATCAATCCATGGCTCCCAGTCCTGTGACATTCTTGTCCATGGCTGTCTCTATGCCACATAGAAATGTGTCTTTCCAGGATCTTTCCTAGGTTTCTCCTAACATCTTGAGGTTCTCATTTTGTGTAAATGGGCTTACAAATTAAATAAAGCACTTTATTATCTCATAAACATGTCAGTTGTTTTAAGTACAGCCAAAGGGTAGAGGGTTTTCCTTTATTATTTAGTGGGTTTATACCCAACCTGAACTCTTTGAATACAATCCTTTTTGGCTATGGGGTCTTCTTCATAAGAAAAGGAAATAATCTCTTCTGTACCTTCCCCCCCCCCCCCTTCAAATTAGAAGATGGAGATTGAGAAAAATACGGGGAAACAATTGAGTACTTGTTTAACTCTGAGGGACAGCCTTGAAAATTAGAAGTTGTCATCATTGCTTGTTAAACAGAATGGAAATTTGTTCTTTAGTCATTTCAGCTGTTTTTTCTTAGCAAAGATACCAGAGGGGTTTTCCATTTCCTTCTCCAGCTCATTTTACAGATAAGGAACTGAGGCAAACAGAGGGAAGTGATTTGCCCAGGTCAGATAGCCAATAAGTGTCTGAGGCCAGATTTCAACTCGGGAAGCTATGTCTTCCTGACTTCAGGCCCAGTGTTCTAGGGTCTCAAAAGATTAAAACTTTATTTTTTTAAAATCATTTTTAAGAGTCTTGATATAGCATGGAAAAGGCCAGTATCAAATTTTCATGAAGTTATACATTCTGTGGGGTGTTAAAATGGAAATGTTGGGCAACAGCTAGACAAATAGTGATTTTGTGGAAGAACTTAGAATTCCAACAATCACTAGAGAACCAAAGATTAAAAATGGCCAAAGTAAAAGTTTGTGTGGGACAGCTATCCTTATTTTCCAAATAAAAGTGAGAGGCTTCTCGAGGTGGAAAGCAGAAAAGAATTTTTATTACGATCTCATGAGAAAGGGCAATCCACAGCAAAAACCCTCTCAGTGTCAGAGCGTGCCAAACATAGATATAGCAGGTTTTTGTAGGTCCCTACCACAGTTCCCCTCCATAACCCACTTCCCCTTATCCCATTGGCTAGGCTTTCAGGGGGTGCAATATATTCACAGAGACACAAGTTTGCCCAGAGACAAGAAAAGGCAGGAAGCTTCTCAAGGGCAAGCAGTTCAGGTTGGGGGCAGGGCTATTCTTTCTGCTAAGTACTTAAACACAGGGTCTGAGTGGGGACGGTTATGAAAGCAACCATCAAGAACTATTAACAAGAACCATTGAGCCTTTGAGGAGGCTTCACTTCTGAGAGAGCATCTCTCCCGATTCCCCCGCTCATTTCTAACAATCTGAAGCCTCCTCACACCCAC